CATCAAAAGACATTAGTTATAACAATACATTAACATCTCACATATCATTAATAGATACAAACACAACAAACATAGCAACTCACACAAATGACATAGCAGTATTGAATACAAAACAAATACAGAATTTCGCAGGTATTACCGATATAAATACAAATTTGACAAACAATTATCAAACTAATACGCAACTAACAACCAATTTTTATAATAACACAGAAATAGACACAACATTAGGTAATTATTACACACCAGCACAAATAGACACAACATTAGGTAATTATTATACATCATTACAAATTGATGCGGGATTTTATAATCAAACATACATTAACAATAACATTTACACGAAAACAGAGGTGGATGGATTAGTCGGAGCAGGTGGAGGATACACAGACACACAGATTGACAGTTTCTTATCATTAAAAGAAGACAAATCAAGATTTACAGATAATATTAGTTTCTTTCCAGTTATTGATTTATCAAGACCCAGTATAATTCATCAAGGCTTAACGCTTAAAAACTCAGTTGTTAATGTAGAACCATTAGAAGGGTTGCTGTTTTCAAATCAATTCGGAGCAGAAACAGACAGAGATGTGGCAGTATTCAAAAATCAGACAAATTACATAACATTAAAAGGAAATACAATTGAATGTAATGCTACAAGCGATGACAGTGTAGAAAATTTAGAACTAAACCCAGACGGTGATGTTGTTTTGAATAATAATCTGTTAGTTTCTACAACAGGAGCAGATATATCAAGAGCAAGTGGAGACACTAACTATACATTAAGAGTTAAAGATAATCAAGCAATATGGGAATTTAGAAATAGAGTTTTTACTTGTCGTAATGGTTCAAACGAAAATTTAGGGGCGCGTATGGAAATACAGAATATAGGAACGGGTGAAGTTCAAATAGGGACAGCATCAACAGCGCAAGTTGGAATAGGAGCAACACCGAACGCAAGTTATTTTTTAACGGTGGGTGGAACATCTAATTTTGATGTTATA